AAAATATTATTTCTAAGCAAACAACCGCGTAATTGGATAAATGTAAATTGCTGTGTAATACTACTACTATCTTACGTGTTATTTTGTTAATTCAGCTCAATCTAAAAACCCAATAAAGTCCAAAAACCTCGGTTTTGGTACATATATAGTTACTTTGAGGCCTGCCTTCTTGATTAAATTAATTCTCTCCGATGATGAGATGAGATTTATTCAGCCCATTTCGTGTACGGTGAGAAAAAACTGGGAATAATGCAAGTCCATCCATCCAATTTCACAGAGCCCTACTTTCTCGGAAGTTGTATTATCACCGCGACTGGATGGGCTGCAGTTTCGACTGCGCGGCAACTCGTCTTGACAGCACCGCCGGCGGGAGTCGAACCGTGACAATGAGGCATGTCAGCTTGCCACGTCAACCACCCGCATCACCACATTGCCACGATTGTCGTTGATGCAAACGTGTTTTTGCCATGACAATCGACCACACTACTTATTTGTCGTACAGTAGTAGACTTTCGAGATAGATTTCATACTACTGATATACTACTAGTCTCTAAACTCTACTCAAATATTAAAAAATGTTTCTGTATGTCGGGAAACAGCTGCCACCATATCAAATTCCGGTTAGTGAATAAATTTGACTCATCTGCAAGGACGACTTGGCACACGACAACTTTGGGTGTACCCAGAAGGGACTAGGTTTGGTTTGGTACAATTTTACGACATTTTCTGGAGAGTAAATTGATGTTCTGATGATGTCCGCCACAGTTTAGACGCACAATTTGCACGGGCTCAGGCGAGTGGCAGGACGAAGAGTCGAGAACATATCGGCACGATTCAACAGCCGTACCCACTCGGTATCCGATACCGACGATTTCACCAATTCCTTCCAACCAACAGTTCCGCCGAAATGGACTGTCACTCCACAAGGTTGAGCACAAAAGTCGCGCAGCATTGCGGCACTACTTGTACATTTATCTCTTGGTCTTGATGCTGCCTTAAGCTCGAGATCTGTGACTCGTTCCTGCAATCTCCACCCTTCATGTGGCGAACATGCTGTTGTCATGACAAGCAATGCTTGAAGTATGCC